ATATATATATATATATATATACATATATATGCAAATTAAAGGACTGAGTTATGTATCTGAATTTTCATGAATATATGCTTGCCTTTACTTCAAACTTAAATTTTTGCAAGGCTTGTGGGCATGCTTGGTCTGATATTTATAAATTCATTCATAAAACTATATAATATGTAACAGTACTTATGTCTTGGAGTTAACAGTAACAATTATTAATTTAAACATAATATCACCTGAAAAACAAACACAAAGTGTGTGGATTTTTAAAAATTTATAATTATATAAGTAAACTTTAAATGCATTTGTTCAGGAAGCAGATTTTTAACAAGTTCCAACTTGTAAATTTAAAACTTTTGGTGATTTATATTAGACCTAAAACTGATTTGAATACAGCTATCTACATTTTTTCCAAGTAAATATGTGATTTAAATAAATGTCACATGTGTTTCAAAAACCTTGTATTGAGTCATCATATATAGGTGGGACCATCAAGCAGACACTGACAGCTCTAGCAGAGTCCTGCTTCTGTTTAAAGTGGTTGGGATAAACACTGAGTCTCAGATTGGGATGTTTGGGTTTCCTTTCAGTACACACAGAAATAAACAACTCATAAGTATAGATATACACACAAACAAGTACAATTATTCAACCATATAAACACATACAAAACACATGCATGCATCCAGGCATGAAGAAGGATATTCATAAAATGCTGACAGAGAAAGAAGGATTGAGAAAGGAATGAAGGGGTTAAATAGAGAGTAAAGCAAAGTATGAAACGAAGGTAGACACACACATACCTTCACTCTCTCTCTCTCTCTCTCTCTTTCTCTTTCTCTCTCACACACACACACACACACACACACACACACACACACACACACACACACACACACACACACACACACACACACACACACACACACATACACACACGTGTATGCACAGTCACACTCAAACACACACACACACACACACACAAAGTAAATCAAATCTCCACATTCCCAAATGATCTAATCAGTAACCTCTCAAATAACCACTTAAACATTGGTCAAGACCTTGCTGCATGATGTGCCCTAGAGCAGTGGCATTCATCAGTCTATACAATGCAATTATGTTCTACGACAGATGTTTAATGATTGGCAATTTTGAATCTTAAGGGGCATTTTGATAAAACGCTAAATTTACTGATGTTAGAGAGAGAGAAAGACTCGATGAAAAAGACGATAATTATCTCTGTCAGAAAAAAAAAAATCTTTTTCAGAGAAATCATGAAAAAATGTAGCTCCAGCACTTCTGCTCACTTTTTTTTATTATTGTGTACTCCATGTTTTGCTAAGTTCATTATCTTGAATGAACTAAATACAGATCGCATAAATGAGAGGGAAGAAAGAGAAACTCAATATTACCAATCATTCCCTAGCTAATATACCCATTTACTGTATTGGCAGTTGTACACACTTAGACATTTCCCACACCTACTAGTGTAACACGAATTAATGATTTAAGCACTTTCCTTATATCTAAATTAAATATAACATATTATTCTACTGATTTCCTTTTGATTTCTTTCACAATCTTTTTACACACTATATATATTTATCATATAATTTTTTTTCTTTTGACAACCATCTAATGAAAGCATGAAATCAGTCTGTGTTTGGGGCATGACTAGAAGTAATAATTGCAGCAATATATATCCATTATGGGAAAGTAAACAAATCTAATATATCATTGGTATCAGTATGCCAGTGAAGCTTAACATGGGCTTTAAAAAAATTATAAACTTCTTACATGACACAGGGCACACCTGGTTCAAGGAAAACAGTACTACAGATTTCTTCAGATTTCTCTCTGATGCAGTGTCAAGGATGCTCAAGTATAAAACAATGCAGCTCTGTATCACCATAGTTTGTAAAGGTTTTACTATTATCATCAAATAAAGATGGCAATGATCTTTTATCAATATCAGAATCACACACAAAAAAAAACATTGTGTGTAATGCCATGGCTTAAAATATGTAAATGTTTGAGCACGTAATCTTTTACATGGAATCATCAATATTATTTACATTACTGCCATTCAAATATTCTTTACTTTAGAATGTTAAACATCTTAAAATCTCAACCACATTTTTCATATTCACTTGGAAAGGAAGGTTAGGAATTTATGAAAGTCATAAAACACAGGAGTCTTCAAGAATAAGCTTGGCGGCAGTATGTATGGTAACACTCATTTCTGTATCTGATGCCAAATTCACTCTTACTTAATTCTTTCTCTCAAAATATCTAGTTTCTGATTCAAGAAAATTTACACACCAGGCATAATGAGTGTCATTTCAAATATATAATTTGAGAGTACTGTACATAAAACAGTGTTGGAGATGATGTTTCTGATGAATAACTGATAGTAATCTTCTCTGGTGAATCTGTATTACTAACTAAAGTCCCACTTTCATAGAATAATTCTGACTAGAGAATTTATTTACAAACTGACTAGTAATTTAGAAGTATCATTCTATGAGACCAGACAATAACTAAACTGTTGACTTGCCCATAAAGGATGATGTGCACATGACTATGACTAGAGAAAGTGACTGTTTAAACGGATTCACTCACATGTTAAATACAGAAAATAATGCACAGTAATTACTGACCTTTTCTGTCTATTTCATTTCTCATTTCTTTAAAAGCCATACTTCATATGCACAATATTGCATTAATATAAAATATGTAATTAATGCATCATCTAAATTTGAAGCGCTTTGAATATGCTTGGCAGTTCAATGGCTAGACCATATAAAAACAATATATTTTCTTATATCTGTCAAATAAGTGAGGTGCCAAAATTTCCTTACACATTGATGTGGAGATGCTAATATGATAGAGACCAAGTCCTATTTCTGTATTGCAATAATAGTTAATAATTTGGTGAAAACTACTATACTGTATTGGCAAAAAGTCACTCAGCTTCTAACAATCATGCACAATGTACATTTTCATCAGGCAAATGACAATTCTCATGAATCTTGATATTAATATGGATGGCTTTTGGTCTGGACTGTGTTGTGTTTTCATCACACCAAAATATATATTTCCCTTTGTGTCTACTGATACTTTTCTGTGACAACATGACTTATATAGTCTATGATCTTTCTCTCTTTTATTTAAGAAGATAATGCAATCTGCAGACATCTGTAATAAATGGTTATCCAAATGCTTGAAAAACAAAAAAAAGTGATAATAACTTTCACATAAAGCAAAATCTAGCATTCAAAGCATTTCCTTTGGGCTCTCTACATTACAATACACAGTGGGAAGGGAGAATAAACCCTTCTTTAATTGTTCATATTCACTTGGAAAGGAAGGTTAGGAATTTATGAAAGTCATAAAACACAGGAGTCTTCAAGAATAAGCTTGGCGGCAGTATGTATGGTAACACTCATTTCTGTATCTGATGCCAAATTCACTCTTACTTAATTCTTTCTCTCAAAATATCTAGTTTCTGATTCAAGAAAATTTACACACCAGGCATAATGAGTGTCATTTCAAATATATAATTTGAGAGTACTGTACATAAAACAGTGTTGGAGATGATGTTTCTGATGAATAACTGATAGTAATCTTCTCTGGTGAATCTGTATTACTAACTAAAGTCCCACTTTCATAGAATAATTCTGACTAGAGAATTTATTTACAAACTGACTAGTAATTTAGAAATATCATTCTATGAGACCAGACAATAACTAAACTGTTGACTTGCCCATAAAGGATGATGTGCACATGACTATGACTAGAGAAAGTGACTGTTTAAACGGATTCACTCACATGTTAAATACAGAAAAT